AACAGTACTTATAATTAAAGATTAAAAATAAGTTATTAATATATATACAGTATTATAATGCAAGTGTATGCGTTTAGCCAAAATTCTAAATCAAATCGCACTCATCCATAAAGTTCTGGAGACTGGAACTAATGGATTTCTTATTTCGATTATTATATTAGTCTATATATGATTTTAACGCAAATGTGCATCGTAAATAAATAAACAAATAAATTGTTAATGTTAGGACATGGACATAGTTCAATATTAAAAAATGCAGAGAGATTGCTTATATCTTTTTAAAAAATTCTTAAAATTTAAGATATAATTTCTTTATACAATTTTCTATATTATTTTTATTTTGTTCAATTTTTTAAAAAAATAGAATTAAATAAAAATTAATATTGTATCACAATATTTCTCTGTCTGAAATTATTGATATTAAAATTCTTAACACTATCGGCGAGTTATAGGCTATATATATACAAAATTCACTTGATTAATGGTTATTCTAATACTTCCGAATATTTTAAGTGAGTTTATTTNTTGGACACATTCGTGTATAACCACTCTGAAGTCACACAATTTCCTGTCGACGAAATGTGGGCCACACCCTGATTATCACGTGATAATTTTTGTCGCTAAGCGACGACAGTACATCCTGTGTCCAACAGAACAGACGTAATCATTTTTTCCTCGAATTTAAAAACCTAAATTAAACATTTCGTGATTAAGTTATTAAAATTGGCAAAATTTAATATCTCGTGTTATCGATGTCGGAAATATTCGATAGTAATGGCCTAATATTTAAAGAAAAATCACGGCCAAAGATTTTTTTCGACATTTAGAAAATAATATAAGACCTTGTTATTTTTTGATTGTAGGCTTTCAGGGTATGAAAATTGTATATATTTTGAAAAAATTGTTTTCTAGTTATACAGTACTCGAATTTAGACCCGGCACAAGACTAAAACACACGAGTTTGCGTGATGGTGGTAACTTATAATTCTGTAGTTTTGTGCAATATCACCTCGGGATTTTTTCTGTTAAAAAATAATGAAAGTACTGTACTTTGATTCGGCTTCGAGGCCTGAAAATATCATAAATGAATCCGAAATAAGAATTTTATATCAAATTTAACGGTCGCAAACAAAATTTCGTGTGACTAAAATTATACAAGAACACCGAATATTAAATGCGACGTTTAATTTTAGCATTTGTCGTAAGAGACAAGTTTGTTTCATTTAATATTTATTTTTTAAACGTCAATATTGACTACAAATGAAAATGTGGCAGTTTGCTTCGAACACATCGTAGTTTTACATAAAATTTCGTGCTTTTGATTAAAAGCGATTTATCAGAGAATTCAAATTCCTTTCTCACACCAGCATTAACAAGTTTCTTATTCGAACGACGTAACGCAGGTAGAGAGAGTATAAATAAATAATTTTTTTTTTTTAAATAATCGTTTCATAAATTAGTGTTTTACGTTTCCAAACGAAAAATCCACCGAACAGTTTGAAATTTTAATATCTGCTTTTACTAAAAGTTAAAATTTCAACGTGTTCAAACTTAACGCATCGTATTCTTATCTGCAAAGCTTAATTTAATAAACATAATTATATATGAAATATTTTAAAGTTATATATTAAAACAAATAATTATAATTTACACGTTAATTTAAATTATTCTCTAAGTTCTAATTGATTATTGTCGAAATAAAGTAAACGAATAAAGAATGAATGGCTACACAATTTAGTTATAACATATCAATATAAATGAAATTTATTTAAAATTTAATCCTATTTTTTACTTTATTAGAAGAATAAACAATAGATTTATTTTAAAAATGATAACACATAAACTATATTAAGCTTATTTTTGTTTTTGTTTGGTTTTCTATTGATAGAAAGTTACAACGTAAAATATTCGAATATTCCCTGATTATTAAAGTGAAAATACATTGTAGAAGTTAAAAAAATATTGTGAGAACATGTATTTGTGTAACGAGATTTATAGATTTATCTGTCCTTTTACGTCAATTTTCTATATAATCCGTTTAAAAACTATTGATATAAATATTGAAATAACCTTAAATATACTCAAAAAAGAGAAAAGTTGGGAATAATCTATTTTCTTAATTCGATTTTAGGCTTTTGAAAGTTTGTAATGTGAATTTTTTTAAGAATTATGTTTATTTTATTTTATTTTTATTAGAATTATGTTTATGTTTGTAATTTATTTGATAATTAAAAATATTCTGAAGTATTTAAAGTAACTCGAAATAATATCTTATATTGTAAATCAGATATGTCTTAATATATTTTAAAATTCATGTTTCAGTCATACAGTATTTCTGTCCTAGAGGTCGGGCCTATTANTATGTTTATGTTTGTAATTTATTTGATAATTAAAAATATTCTGAAGTATTTAAAGTAACTCGAAATAATATCTTATATTGTAAATCAGATATGTCTTAATATATTTTAAAATTCATGTTTCAGTCATACAGTATTTCTGTCCTAGAGGTCGGGCCTATTAAGGCTAAATGGATTGATATAAAACTTAAACATTCATCATACTGATGCTTACTTACAAATTGTATTATATATATATAACGGTTTAAAAATGATCCATTTGTATTCTTATCCATCACATTTGTATTCGTATGCAGACTAAAAGTGAGATTAGATTAAACTGAACAAAAAGATTGTTGAAAACCGAAAATGCTTTCGTAGTCATTCGTAAAAGAAATATTCGTGTATACGAAAATGGCTACGAATTAAATATCATTACTTATATTTTAAGAGATGTTTTATGTAATTTTAACTATTTTGCATATAGACTACTTCTTTTAGATACTTATATCAAATGACACAAGTTTTAATTTATCTATACAATTTAGCAACGTTTAAGTTGATAGATTTATCATTTTCCATTAATGAAATATGTCGAAAAATGTCTATAAAAATGTTTATTTTTGTAAACAATTTTACATAATAATAAAATAGATACGTTTATTTTGTAAATTTTTAAAAATTTTGTAAACTTTAAAATGAAGATTAAAAAATTTTCGGTTTTTTTTTGTTTAAAGAGAGAAAAAAAATTCTTTTGGGTTCTTAACCTATTTACGACTACCCGGTTACTGCTTTTTGGACACATTCGTGTATAACCACTCTGAAGTCACACAATTTCCTGTCGACGAAATGTGGGCCACACCCTGATTATCACGTGATAATTTTTGTCGCTAAGCGACGACAGTACATCCTGTGTCCAACAGAACAGACGTAATCATTTTTTCCTCGAATTTAAAAACCTAAATTAAACATTTCGTGATTAAGTTATTAAAATTGGCAAAATTTAATATCTCGTGTTATCGATGTCGGAAATATTCGATAGTAATGGCCTAATATTTAAAGAAAAATCACGGCCAAAGATTTTTTTCGACATTTAGAAAATAATATAAGACCTTGTTATTTTTTGATTGTAGGCTTTCAGGGTATGAAAATTGTATATATTTTGAAAAAATTGTTTTCTAGTTATACAGTACTCGAATTTAGACCCGGCACAAGACTAAAACACACGAGTTTGCGTGATGGTGGTAACTTATAATTCTGTAGTTTTGTGCAATATCACCTCGGGATTTTTTCTGTTAAAAAATAATGAAAGTACTGTACTTTGATTCGGCTTCGAGGCCTGAAAATATCATAAATGAATCCGAAATAAGAATTTTATATCAAATTTAACGGTCGCAAACAAAATTTCGTGTGACTAAAATTATACAAGAACACCGAATATTAAATGCGACGTTTAATTTTAGCATTTGTCGTAAGAGACAAGTTTGTTTCATTTAATATTTATTTTTTAAACGTCAATATTGACTACAAATGAAAATGTGGCAGTTTGCTTCGAACACATCGTAGTTTTACATAAAATTTCGTGCTTTTGATTAAAAGCGATTTATCAGAGAATTCAAATTCCTTTCTCACACCAGCATTAACAAGTTTCTTATTCGAACGACGTAACGCAGGTAGAGAGAGTATAAATAAATAATTTTTTTTTTTTAAATAATCGTTTCATAAATTAGTGTTTTACGTTTCCAAACGAAAAATCCACCGAACAGTTTGAAATTTTAATATCTGCTTTTACTAAAAGTTAAAATTTCAACGTGTTCAAACTTAACGCATCGTATTCTTATCTGCAAAGCTTAATTTAATAAACATAATTATATATGAAATATTTTAAAGTTATATATTAAAACAAATAATTATAATTTACACGTTAATTTAAATTATTCTCTAAGTTCTAATTGATTATTGTCGAAATAAAGTAAACGAATAAAGAATGAATGGTATTAAAGTTGTCGAAGTCCTTTTTACAAATTGTACTCTATTTTTGTAAAATAGTACGTTAAATGTACCGTTTAAAATGCGTATACAATAACAGTATAAATATAATATATACAGTAAAAACTGTACCTTTTTTTTATATAAGTGGAGTTGTAGTTACGCCAAGTAAGTTCTTGACGACTACATTTGACTGAATATATTAATGAACAAGTGAGACACGAGTCTCCTTGTAGATTATTTATTTATTTCTCTCTTTTTTGCAATATATTTAACGAGTTTAATAGAATCTATTAAATTAAATTTTGTATTTAAGTCTTTACCTTACGTTACCTCTAAAATTTCTGCTTCGATGAGAACTTTTCTATTTTCTGTTCGTAAGAACTCAACGAACATAAAAGACTTCAATAAAACTAAGATGGAACAAAATCAAATTCATTTAAATAACAAAAATAACCACTTAAAATATGTATTAAAACGTGAAATAAAATAAACGGTTTAGATAATTTATAAAGCAATACTTCATGTAAATAAAATTTAAGAAAAATTAAATTTTATTTCAATAACATTTTAAATCGTTTTTCTCTTCGTTGAAGTAAATTAACGTTTTTCCAACGATTCCCAAATTATAAAGAGAATAAATCAGTAATAAGAGAACATAAAAATTGAATCAGTGGAAACTTTACTTACCTATATAATTATAAAATAAAAAAATAAAATAAAACGTGAAACGGCAGTGAATAATCGATCGAATCGGCACACAACAAAATACTTTCCTAACGATACATAAGAAAAAAGCAAAATAAAAATAGATTTTGTCCATAAAATATAAGAAATGTTCATAGAACATTTTAAGCGTCGATGTCTATAATGAGGACTAGGACCAACCAAGAATGCAGAGTCGATTATAGAGGCAGTGAAGGCAATTTATAAACGGTCGAATCCATTTTTTTTTAATCAACAATAAAACAGTATTTCCGAGAATTCTAATATTTCTAAAACATTCGCAATTTTTACTCTTTGGAACGGATAAAACTGAAACGTCACACCTCTACTGGTATCTTCTTTTTTCCGATTTTTCAAAACTGGAACAACAATATCTTCGACGAGAAGAGAATGAACGTGCAGCTCTACGTCATATTTCAATCCTTTTCTTATATAAAACGGCTTGTTTAGCTTGACTCTGACGTCCTTGTCTTTGGAAAGAACGAATTGCACATCGTATTCTTCTCGCTCCGATAATTTACCTTCAATCGGACGATATAAGATACGAAATACACCGTCGATTTTATGTTGCCTGACGGAATAATAGCTCCTTTCTTGCCTGACTGGAAAACCGACTCCGACTAAAAACACGTCCCTATTCATGACCGAAAACCTGGCACCAAATAACCGAAGAGGCCTCGACGGAGAACTAAACGACAACGTCTTATATCGACGGCATACGAAATATTCGGGAGGCGAAGTGCGTTTAGCTGTTTCTGTCGAAAATCCTTTCGGTACTTGACTACTTCCGGGTACGGCGAGATTCATAAATACGTTAAAACATTCTTCTATCGTCAGAAGTCCCGATTTAGCCGGACCTTTGCAAAATTCTTCCGCCGACATGGCTAAAAATCTCAAATGAGGCAAGAAAGGATCTAACATCGCTCTTATATTCTCTATTTCGGGCTCTAATTTTTTTCTTTTGCATTCTTGTTCCGCCCACATGAAAACGGCGTTATATAAAGTATATTCCGAATATATGTTGAGGTAGGGTCGTCGAACTATCTTCTCCAGGATTCCGAATGGAATCTTTAGAAACGCAGAAGACGTCAAGACGTGGTACGTTTGTCGATCGATGATATTGAGACAGAGAAAAACCAGAAGATGAGCTTCCATGTTAAGCGCAAATTCGTACACGTCGCATACCGACTTGGGACAAACATTAGCTTCTAGATAACCTATGCATTCTCTCATTAAATGAGGTAAAGCATACTTTTTAGCGGCGTACGCCGTCAGCATCGCATCTTCCACCGTCTCAAGGCTCAAATTATCGGTGTAAGCATATCTGAAAAAAGAAAAATTTGTCTTACTGAAAGTATTCTATTCGACAAAACATAAGAATTTCACTAATATAAATTATATTATATTTAAAATTAAACGAGCATTAAATTTTGTACAAATTATATTTAAAAAATCGTAATAAAAATTTTTAAAGAATATTATACTTTATGGCGCATAAATCCAGAAGAAATTGAGAAATTACAAAATCTAGAATCCTCTCAAGAATTATAGGAAAGAAATCCTTACATTTAATTAAACTTTTCGACTATAATGTAGTGAAAAAATAAATTTTAGTAGAGAAACAGTTAATATAATTTTTATTTTAGCTGTAGGTCATACTTTTAAAAATGGACAATCCTTGCTCTATATTCTAATTCGATCGATGTTTGATGTTATCCTTTAAAAAAAACTTAGCAATATGATATAACGATAGAACGCTTTAGTTGCCATGCCTTTCACGAAGTTTCGTCTATATCGTTTATTAAAGCTAATAATTCGTTGTTAGTCTCCTAATTGGTGTCAGAATACGAATCTGGGTGGAGTAGTCGAGTTTAGATGGATGGTTAGAAGTACAGTTAAATTATAATACGTGCCTCGTTCGACTTAAATTTAGCATTTTGAACTACTATTTAAAATAATGTAGAAAAACGTCATATCATATATTTTAAAAATTGAACATCATGTATGATAAAATATGAATGCAAACGATCGTTAATTTGGATGGTTTGAATAAATACAATTTTTTAATGATTAATTACACTTTTATACTCTCGACAATACCAGAATGAATTTTATGTTTTTAAAGCAATATCTAAGGATAAGATTTTTAATGTTTTTCCTTCTTAGATATTAACATAGCCTACCTAATAAGTAGGAAAATTTGTCTAATAAGACCACGAACTGGCTGTATTCTGTTGTAAAAATCTTCTTTAAAATACTAAAATCTAATAAATATGAATTCTTCGTAAATAACATATACAATTTTAAATTTTATTTAATCGCAATTAATTATTTTTGATATATTTTTATATTAGATGAAACTATTAATATATTCTCTTCTTCTCTTCTTTGGATAATTTGAATATAACAGAAAAATATTGATAAATTTTTAAATAAAAAGGACTTCTTATGCATTTATTAAATTTGAAATAAAACTTTCGACATAAATTCTATTAGTATTTTATTCTTTAAAATTTAAATAACGCATTATTAATAAATAATATGATCTTTTGTTTATAGTTATGGCACATTATCATTTTTATGTTATAGCCGTTTGACGATCTTTTTTATGAGTGTTCCTGCGTTGTCTGTTATGTATAACAGCGAAGTAACATCTATAAAATGAAAAATAAATATTTTAGTGAATTCTTTGAAACAGAGCCACGGGAATTAAATTTTTTGTAAAATTTTAATCTCAAATAAAAGATTTTGAAGAGATATTTAAAACAATTAATTATAAATACACGATTCTTAATATTCTGTTACGATGAAAATCTAACAATTCTTATAAATAACTAAAGTTTCGACAAACCATTTCGTTCTGCTATTTCGTGACAAACCCAATATAATGATGGAACACACCGGTTAAATTTTTAATTTAAATCATTAATATTAAAGTCATACCATTTATTGTTAGATGCGGTTTTGTGACTACAGGCAATTAAAGACAAAGCGTTTTGTAACCTATTTTGCAAAATGTAAATGACAAGGTCGATATATACAGACATTTCTTTGTATCGAGATTTGCTTTCGATTGATTTTATATCCTATTAAAACATTTATCAGTAAAGTAGCCATAAAGCTACGAGGTCAATCGATAATATAATTGCCGCGTTATCCTTGACCATTGCCTTCGATAGTAAAAACTAAAAGTTTATTCTTTTCTATTTTGATTCTTTACAGTAAATGATATTTAATAATTTTTTTTAAATATATCTTATTCATTGCAATAAAAAATACATTTTACGTAATTAAAATGTTTATTATTAGTATATTCATAATAATTTCTACACATATTTTTATATTAAATAATTTATTTAATAATATTTATTAATTGTAATTGAACTAGTACGGTGCCGTAGCATCCTATCGATTCAAATCATCGACATTTATTATAAGCTGTAATAAAATATTTTTGGTAAAATAAGCATACCTTGAAGATTCTGATGATTTTCACTATATATACATATATATGTTTTAATTATAAAACATAATCGATTTTAGTCAAGTGTAATGTAATATGCAATTTTGAAATAATTTTATATTGATTATATAAAATGTAGAAATTAGTAAATAAGTTACATTATATATAGATTTAACGATCAAAAATAAATAGCAATCGTTAGGAATTTAATTAGGAATCCGTTAAACCCATAGACTGTGTACTTAAAATGCGTATAGGCAGATGCGATTAAAAGTTTCTTTAATCAATAGTCATTTGTTAATTTATTCAAATGTAATTTTATTTGTAAGTGATTATTTATAGATTCGGCTATTTTATTTCATTTGCCATTACTATATATCTCGTTACAAATGTTAATTATAAGCTACATATATGTTTAATATTTCCATCTCGATGTAAATTTGCTAAACTCACTCGATTAGTTTTCAAATTCAAATATCAAAACTCTTGAAGCTATCTATAATTAAATCTATGCGGAAAATTCTGTACTGAGTTTAGAATCGAATGTTATTATTGTTCTAGTTTAGTAAAGAAGAACGCCGTATATTATTTGGTTAGTCTCTCTCCAAATAAAAACCATCATTAAAATCCGATAAAGATAAACATTGATTTTCGAGAAAGATTTCAATAAGAAATTTTCTGGAATTATGACAAATGACGCTACACATTTCGATTCCAATTTGACAACATTTTCTAAGTTGTAATATTTGACTTGACAGAATTGTATAAAACTTTCGGTGTACTCGAAATATGAAAAATTTCATCATACTCAATTTTTTATAATAGTTTCTAATCTTGCAAAATTTATCTTATAAAACCTATGTTAATAATGTAGGAAAAACTTAAAAGAAAATGAAAAAAACAGTATATTCAAAGAGGACGAGGAGGACAACATCAGGATACTGGATTAAAATACTTCCTCGATTTTCTGTTCTTTTTGAGTGTATAAACAGAGTAACAAAACAAAAACTTTTATACTTATTGATAACACGATTGAAATAAATAAAATAAATACATTAACTGCATAAAAATACACTTATTAAAATAAAAATATAATTATAAAAAATATACTCACGATACGTTTCTATAAAATAGCGAATTTTTTTTTTCCTTGTTCTGACCAGATTCTTAGGCATATGCATATCCTTATAACTTCCACTATTTGTACAGTACGCGAAATTTAATCATTCAATATTGCATACTGTTTAATATATGAAATATTTTGTTTTATCGACGACTATCCTAATCTTGGCAACAGAATTATAATATAATTTACTCGAAAGCATGCCATAACGAAAAAACAAAATGGCTATTAAAAGAAAGAAAAATTGAAAACAAAGTTTTATTTTTCTATAACTATAGCTACATAAGTTTATGACACATAATTAAAACTGTTTTATATAATACGGTAAATGAACATTTTTATTAAAATTCTTTTTATTTGCTGTCGTATAAGTTATTCAGTGAATATTTCTGAAATTCAGTAAGAAGAAATAAAATTTTATTCGCTAAACATAAATATTAATATGTAAAGCCTTTTAACATCAGAGATATATGGAAGTTTTGATAATTCATTTTTTGTATTAAGGAGGTGTAGTAAAACTTTTTTATTTTAATACATTAAAAGTATACTGAAGAGTGAATAAATATTTAAAATTTTTTAAGTTTATTGAATATTGTTTGTAATTTGGATAGTGCAAATCTTAAATAATATCTTACTTTTCTATAAATATTTATACGTTTAAAAAAATTTATCGCAATATATTATAAGTAAAGCTAAAACAAATAATTATTGTAGCCTATATCTGAATTTTTGATGTCCTCAGAATTTACACTGCGTAAGTAAAAGTAAAGCAATATCAGAAGTAGGATTATATAAACAATATAATTGAAGTGTCAATCATCAAATTTTATTATATATATATATAT